GCCCTCCAGACAGAGCATGGAGCCCCTCCCGCCCACCGCACTCGGCCACAAGCCCAAAGCACACGCCAGGACGGCCACTGCCGGCACGGCAGCCTCAGTCCAGCCGTCGGTGAGGCCGTCCACTGGCGCCAAGGGCACCGCCAAGTCGGACCTGGAGATCGATGTCTTCAGCGGCACTGTCAAGAAAGACGACATCTACCGGTCGGCCATCAGTCACACACAGAGACAGAAGGGCAGGCTCTCATCTGTGTGTAACTCTCCTTGGTTCGCGCAGGTTTGTGGAGATTCGTGCTGGGGAGGAGGAGGCCGTTCGTCTGCTGCCCTTTGCCATCCTCTTCTTCCTGTCGTTCATCCTGGCTGTTCTCTATCACGAGGACGTCTCACAAGTCTTCTCTGTCGAACAAACGTACTCACTCACGCAAATTAGCAGTACCACATTAGGAGTACTCCATGGTGACGGGCTGCTCTGCCGTCAGGATAGCGGATGGTGTGCGGCAGAGTGAGTTTGAAAAGGGCAAGACACTTCTGCAAGTCACCACAGAAGGTACATGACGAATGGGAGACACGTCAATCTGTTTGTTAGTCTGTCTTTCGTCCATCGATCGTCTTGTTTGTCTTCGCAGATCAGTTTTGGAAGTGGCTGTCCATCGGCATGATCAACACGCTCTTCAAGCAGACGGATGCCTTTGGCAACGTGCTGCCCGCCAACCAGTGGGGCCGATACGAGCGATACAACCAAATCATCGGAGGTGAGACACGCACATATACAGTCCGCCTTCATTGATGGCGCCCAGACGGAGCAACCCGTTGTGTCAGGTGTGAACCTCGTCCTCGAGCGCAGCAGCGTCAACAAATGCAAGAGAGACGAACTAGATCGGTGCGCGTACGGATTCAGAATAACCCTTGGTCGCCATAGTATGTGCCAACGAAGGGTTCTCCTTCAGGTTGTTTGGGTGTTCGAATAGGACAGAATGCTGCCATGACGAGGGCACGAGAACGACAGGCAACTACTATAGCGCATCGCTGGTGCCCGACGTCTCGAGGGCATTCCCCAACATAGAAAAGGCAGAAGGGTTCAAAGTGAGCAGACATCATCCAGATGTGCATGTCAGCCTCCGTTATCCTTCCCTTTTGCTCATGCAGGCTGATTCCGATGGTCGCTACGTGTTTTGGATGGACAGCAACAAGCCTTTGGAGGAGCTGAGGAACCGCATCATCTATCTCGCCGCAGGGCAGTGGGTTGATCTCTCAACCAAGGCGGTCACCGTGTCGACACTCATGTACAACGGCGAACTGGGTCTCTTCGCAAAACTTGATGTCACATTCACAGTAAAGGCCACTCCAATCAATTGTCACCTCCACGAAAGTACCTATTGACTCTTGTTGGTTGAACAGTTCTTCCGTGGCGGTAGCGTGCAGCCACAGATTGACCTCGACACAGTGCAGGTCAGTGAGCATTCCATCCCATATCATTCGCTCGTCGCATTCGCATGTCTGTCCAGTCTGATCCCTACAAGGCCCGGCCGTGGATGATCGCCCTCGACGTCCTTTTCCTCGCCTGCTTCATGACATGTGCGGTGTCGGTATTCCGCAGCCTGTGGGCCATCATGCAGGTGCACGGCAGGCAAAAGGGATTCAAAGTCCTCTGTTGCGATTTCTGGTGAGGAGGATCAATGCTGACTCGGAATGCTCGCATGTGCATTTCTGTGCCTTGGCGATTGCAGGAACTGGGTGGACTGGCTGACGATTGGTCTTGGTGTGGCGTACATTGCCACTTGGATCACGTGTGTGGTGACGGACCAGGCGGCCACCAATGTGCTGGTGGAGCTCAGCCGCACATACAAGGAAGTCGGCATCGGCAGCAGCAAATATGAACACAAGCTCAGCGACGCACAAGACAAACTCCAGGTGGGTCACCTCGGTGCAGCAATCCACTCGCGAATACATGCTGTCCCTCTTTTGTGCTTTGCATCGCGTGCAGGATCTGGTCAACGTTTACCTGGAGCATCGGACGGTGACGGCCTTCATGTCTCTGCTCATGGGTGTGCGATTCTTCCATGCATTCCGCAAGCAGCCGATGCTCAGTGTCGTGACCAAGACGCTCTCGGCGTCGATGAAAGACCTCTTCCACTTTGCCATCGTCTTCTTCTGTGCGCCAAGCCAAACCACACAGGGCGCCTCAAACGTGCGTTCATCGATCGTCTTTGCTGTTCATTATCCATTCTGTATAGGTATCTTCTTCTCGTGAGTGGCAGAGACATGAATCGCTGCCAGCGGCAAGAGACGCGGCGAGTCGCTTTCGCTGTTGTGTATTCTTTTGCCAGGCTGTCGTTCAGCGGTATGCTAACGTTCGGCCACAAAGTGCTGTACTTCAACACCTTCAACCAGGCCATGACCTCATCCTTCCTCGTAAGGACGTCACGTCAGCCACAGACATGCACGTGATGCTCATCGATCCCATTGTTGCGGTGATGTCAGTTGATGATGGGATGGTGGCAGTGGGAGTGGCTGCGCGGCGTGGAGGCCGAGAGCACCACCATGATGTTCATAGCGATCTTCTACGTCATCGTGCGGCTGATGATGGTGAACATTCTGCTCGCCATTATTATCGAGTCGTACTTCAGGGTCAGATCCAAGGTGGCCGAGGAGTACACCCTGTGGAATTCTGCCATGTCTCTCGTTCGGTGAGCATGCGTCGGCTCTGCATAGATGTGTATCTGTGCCTGTGTGTGTGTGTGTGTGTGTGTGTTGTGCGCAGTCGCTTTTGGCGGAAGCACATGTCTCACATCAAGATGGAGCGCCTCTTCGGCAAATATGACGAGGAACTGCCCGAGGAGATCAATTTTTTTCATATATCGCAAGTGTGGCGGAACGCACCATCGACACAGCACATCCGCGCACAAACTCCACGAGACCCTCTGCTCTTTTCTTTTATTCTTTGGCACTCGATGGTCTCTCCTCTCTTTTCCTCTTCCGCAGAGACCACGAGACCCGCAGAGCGTGACGGATGGTGGGTGCTGTGCTCCATGCAAGTCTAAGCCTCTGTCTACTTACTTTATGTGCGTGTGTCATCCATGCATCCATCCACAGAGCGTCGGCCCAGCCTGACATCGCTGGCCAATGCGGGCCAGGTGGCCGGCAACCGGCGTGTGTCGACCGAAATGTTTTACTGGCAGCAGAAGCAGGCCGTCGCTGGCCAGGCCAACATCAACCCAGAGGACGCCGAGCTCAAGATACCCTCTCCTGTGCCACCAGAACAGGCCATGGAAATACTCAATGGGTGAGAGGCCACGGGAGAGAGGAGGACATGTGATTGTCGACTCGTGTGTCGTGTATTTGGCTTTTCAGAACCGTCAAGTGGACTCACCACATCGATTCGCAGACCAACCTGACGGTGTCGGAGGCCCTCGTGATGTTCGGCTACAACCACACGCTTGTCATGAATGTGCAGGTCCGTAGCAAGCAACGCATCGATTCAACACTCCAACACGCAGAATCTTCTCGCCTTGCATGATGTGTCATCCATGAGCCCGACAGAACTCCGTGGGCTTCTTGCTGGCTCGGCTTGAGGCGCTGCGTGTGGGGCTGGGCGTCTCGCCCAGCCACCTCGACACACAGGCCGACCGCGCACACACCATGCTCACACTCCCCAGCACCATCGCGGGCAAGTTTGCCGCCATCGAAGAGGGACGAGAAGAGGATGCTGTCACGCCCATGGCAGCAGCTGCTGCTGCAGTTCCAGCTATGGTGGCAGAGGACCTGCTGTTGAGTGCCATTGCATCCCTTCCTGACGTGCAGCAGCGGCCTCTGATGGACAAATACCACCGTGGCGAGCTTGATGGCCTCAAACAGACGCTCGACAGCATTCCCGCAGACAAGAGACACGGCTTCGCGCAGGGCGCCGTGGCGACACTGGCGAGTGTCGCCGAGGAGACATTTCACGTGGACCACCAGCCACCGGTCAGGCTGCACCACGAGTTCGAACATCGCTCTTCCGCCCCTGCCTCGCCCGTATACGTGATGCGGACCGAGATTGCTGGCCGGTTTGGGAGCACGTTTGCGGCACAGCGCAGCGACTCGTGGGTGTGTGACGACGCGGTGAGTGAGGACCTGCTGGACGGAACTGCCGTCGATTTCATGACCAGCATCTACCTTGACGCCTCCAACATGCCGGCCACAGCCAGCCAGAGGGGCAAGAGGCCCAGTATGGTATAGGGAGGGGGGCCATGAATGTGACAATGCCTGTATGTTGATCGCATTTATGACGGGTCTCTGAGGCCATGCTGTGGCCGTGGGTGTGCATGTGCCTCGTGTGTGTTGTGTGTCGATGTGGATTTTTGTCCCTGTCTTGTGGGATTGAGACATACCGGCACTCATGATAGGATAAGACATCGTGTGTGGCTTGTGCGGACGGACAAACAGACACATGTTTTTCATGGATGTCACTCAAGTGGGCATTTATCATGTGTTCTCGCGCCGTCGACACACTCGGCGGAAGGGGACATATCGGTGGAGAGCACCATATCCCGAACAAACCGTCAAATGTCTCAGCGGCAACCCCTCCCGTCTGCTGTATGCAGTTTGTGCGGCTGTGGTGCCATTCCATCTCACGTCGAACACAGAGATGTTTGAAGTGCCATCCGACACGGTGACGGCGCTTCAAGCATCAAAATGCCCAACATGAGAGGCGACGGCCCAGCAGACAGGATCGAGTCGACAGACTCAATCCAAACCCTCTCCCGTCAGTCAGTCAGTAGCATATCACGTGACACAAAAAAGTCAAGACTGACGATTGACAAGCCGACACACAGCTAGCTCTTTCCACATGGCTCCGCTGCAACACCCCACAACGGACGTCTTTCCTTTCATCCCCTCCTGACATTGGTAGGTGCGTCGGGTAGTCCCCTCGCTTCTCGCTCCTTGATGAATGCCGTGTAGCGCGCTTTGCTCTTGCCGTAGTTCTTGTGGAAGACAAAGGGGAAGGACAGAATCATCCCCATGGCCGCCAGCAGCACGCTGCCCGCCAGCATCGGCCCAAACCTCGCCATGAACTGCTTGTCCACCGGCCGCTCCCCCCTCGCAATGCCCATGCGAAAGCCGCTGCCGGGGTAGAAGCTCCACTTGGGGTTGTCGAATTGGAAGGAAGTCGGCGGCTTCTCGAAAAACATCTTGTACTGCGCCTTCTGACCCGCCTTGACCGCATAGTCAGCCGCCTTGTGCGCCGCCTCAGCAGCCCTCCTGCCGGCCTCCGACTTGGCGAACTCGTCTGCCTTCTGCTTCATCCGGCGGCCCTCTGGCGATGACAGCAGCCGGTTGACATAGGGCTGCACAATGTCCCGCAGCCGCTGGGCGTACCTCCGCCACTCCATCCTGCTGATTGCGCCGTGAAGAAAGATCGGTCAGCTGAGAACAGGAAATAGCTCCATTCTGCTCTCAGCCGTCGCGTATGCAGTGAGGACGGTGCAGGATACTGCCCGTGAGAGATTGGCCATTCTAAGCTCGCAGTCAAGCTCGCAATCGTGAGATGACCCTTTCCCCTCTTCTGTGTGAGCTGAGAGCTGGTGTCATCGTTGCATGTGATTGAGTCGCGCGGCATGACGTCGATGTGACCGACGCCAGCAGAAAGCCGCATTCTTGTTGAGCAGTTGTCAGCTGGTTTGGTGTGACGCTGAGAGGCTGAGAAATCCCATCGGTCATCACCATGGAGAACGGATCCGACGAGACACGCGCAAAGCAACAACGAGGTGAGCACAGCACAACACCCACCACGCAGCCACGCAGACGATCCACAGTACACGATAGACAGACATCAACACTCACATATATCGCATCGAGTGTGCCCTCTGTTGATCTATCTGATCTGGTCACTAACAGGCCTGGTGGGTCTGTCGGACAAGCCGTCGGGAGCGTTTGACCAGGAGCTCTACGGGGGTGCCGACGCACTGGGGCAGTATGTGACTGAGCTGCCGACTGAGGAGGAGGCGGCGAACCTCGATCGGCAGCAGGAGCTGACAACGCTGGGAGGCACGGCTGGCCGTGCTCCATCGAGGCCGCAGAAGTTCGCATTCACCGCTCCCAAGGACGTGCTGAACGAAGTGGCCCAGCAGGACGCACCCGACCCTTTCGCGGTCAGAGAGAGAGGCACATACAGATGGAGAGAGAGAGAGATGCGGAAGTGTCATCTGTGTGCCCGTGTGTGTGCGTGTGTGTGTGTGTGTGTGATGCTCGCGTCATCAGGAGCACCAGAAGGACAAGACCATTGCGGGTCGTGAGGACAGCTACCGCAGCAGATGGCGGCAGCAGATGCTCTCGCCCGAGAGGGCCGACCCGTTCGCCAGCCAGACGCCCGGACCGGAGACCAGATCCTACACGGTACTAACGCTGAGAAATGTCAGTCGACGCGAGGCGTGTCTGTATGCACACGCGTGTGTCTGTGTGTGTGTATGTGTTTGGTTGTGTTTGCAGGATGTGATGAAGGAGCAGCAGCTCGACAAGGAGAAGGGCGAGCTCATTCGCAAGATACAACAGAAGAAAAGAGTCAGTCGTCCCCACACCACCCGCCAAAACTCATGCACCTCCACATCGAAACCTTCCTTGTTTCTATCTCAGGATGAGGACAGCCGTGTGGACGGTGAGGCATCAGGTGCAGCAGCGCTCCCGGCTCCCCCCAAGAAGGACGGCGAGAAGAAGCGTCGCAGGTGGGACCAGCCGGCCGCCGACGAGCCCAGGGCCAAGGCCTCAAAGGCCAACGGCGTGGGGTCGCGCACACATGGTGCGTCGGAGTGGGACATCAGCGAGGCATCGGTGGAGCACAGCAGATGGGACACTCCCGTCAGGGGAGAGGTCACCATGGGCGATGAGGGGGCTGGCGCGTCCAGCTGGGACCAGGCAGTGGTGTCTGCGCCCAAGCCGTCAGCTGCCGTACTGGGAGAGACACCCACACCCGGGAGGTACCCCAACCCGATCCCACAAAGACCACATCCATTCATTGAACCATTCAAACATGTGTCTGTCGACGTTTCTGGCTGTCTGTGGGTCAGGTGGGACGAGACCCCCGCGCCGGGCGCCACTCCCGGCCGGCGTCGATCGAGATGGGACGAGACGCCTGTGGGGTCCTCGGGCATGGCTACGCCAGGCCCGTCGGCCACTCCGGGTGCCATGGGGATGGGGATGGCCACCCCAGGCGCCACGCCATTCGGGGGCACTCCGGGAGCCACACCACTGGTCAGTCAGTGTGAGCAAAGGAAGACACAGAGAGAACAAGTGGTGAATGTGTGTATGGGTGTGTGTGTGGCTTGATCAGGGTATGTCTGGCATGATGACGCCCATGACGCCGCTGACGTCGCTGACCCCTGACCAACTCGCTGCCATGAGGTGAGTCAGCCAGGGGGTGAGTGAGGCAAAGGCCCACTCACCATACCATCCGTGCACACATCGATCTGCGTGTGTCATGGTCTCACGTCAGGATCACGCGCGAGATCGACGAGCGCAACCGCCCCATGACGGACGAGGAGCTCGAGGCCATCTTCCCCCCAGAGGGATACGAGCTCGTCAAGCCGCCCGCCAGCTATCAGCCCCTGCCGAGGGCCAAGGTGACCGCCACGCCCACGCCATTCGGCGCCACACCGCTCTACTCCATCCCTGACGAAATCAACGCCGTCAAAGCGCAGGAGGTGCCTGAGACAGACAGACAGACAGACAGACGATCCACGTGGCTGTGTGACCGTCTCTTCTGTCTGTCTGCGTGTGTGTGTGTGCAGATCCCCGGCACGCCCTCATCGAGAGGAGAGGGCGACCTGCCGATGATGCGGCCGGAGGACTACCAGTACTTCGGCAAGCTAATGGAGGTGTCCGACGAGGCGGAGGCCGACCTCTCCCCTGAGGAGGCCAAGGAACACGAGATCATGAAGCTGCTCCTGAAGATCAAGAACGGCACCCCCCCAATGCGCAAGACGGCCCTGCGGACCATCACCGAGAAGGCGCGATACTTCGGGGCGGGGCCGCTGTGCAACCAGATTTTGCCGCTGATGATGAGCAGCACCCTCGAGGACCAGGAGAGGCACCTGCTGGTCAAGGTCATCGATCGCATCCTCTACAAGCTTGACGACCTCATCAGGCCCTACGTGCACAAGGTGAGCCTGTCCCCCCCTCCACCCCACACGCACACACAAGATGTCCATTCCTTGTGTGGCTGGCTTGCAGATTTTGGTGGTGATAGAGCCGTTGCTGATTGACGAGGACTACTACGCCCGTGTGGAGGGCCGCGAGATCATCAGCAACCTCGCCAAGGCCGCCGGGCTGGCCACCATGATCGCCACCATGCGGCCAGACATCGACCACCAGGACGAGTACGTCCGCAACACCACTGCTAGGGCGTTTGCCGTGGTGGCCTCTGCACTGGGCATACCCTGCATCATCCCCTTCCTTAAGGCGGTCTGTGGGAGCACCAAGAGCTGGCAGGCGCGACACACGGGCATCAAGATCGTCCAGCAGATCGCCATACTGATGGGGTGTGCCGTGCTGCCGCATCTGAAGCCGCTTGTCGACACCATCCTGCTGGGCCTCACTGACGAGCAGCAGAAGGTACGTCACACACACACACACACACACACAGAGAGAGAGAGGGAGAGGGAGAGAGAGAGGGAGGGCGAGAGAGACCCCACCTTTCACACACACGTGTGAGCATGTGAGTGTGTGTGGGTGGGTGTGCGAATCTGTCAGGTGCGCACTATCACGGCGCTGGCATTGGCGGCGTTGGCTGAGGCGGCCACGCCTTACGGCATTGAGGCCTTCGATGCGGCGCTCAAGCCGCTGTGGCGCGGCATCTGCGAGCACAGGGGCAAGGGACTCGCCGCTTTCTTGAAGGCCATCGGGTGAGATGACACACACACACTCGGACGGACGGACGGCCTGATGGGCCACATGTGTGCATTCATTTGTTGTGGTATATATATGTCAGTTACATCATTCCCTTGATGGATGCCGAGCATGCCAACTACTTCACGCGAGAGGTCATGGTCATCCTCATCAGGGAGTTCCAGACACCTGACGAGGAAATGAAGAAAATCGTTCTCAAGGTACCTTTGCCCCTCCCAGCCACAGAGAGAGAGAGAGAGCGAGAGAGTGATGGCTCCCATGTCCTCTCTCTGTGTCCGCCTGTGTGGCTGCACTGCAGGTGGTGAAGCAGTGTGTGGCGACTGAGGGTGTGGAGGCGCAGTACATCCGCGAGGAGATCCTGCCCCACTTCTTCAAGAACTTCTGGGTCGTCAGGATGGCACTCGACAAACGCAACTACAGACAACTCGTCGACACCACCGTAGAGATCGCCAACAAGGTCTGTCTGTCAGCCACACACACACCCAACACACACACAAGAGGCATCGCCGGCTCTCTCTCTCTCTCTCTCTCTCTCTGTCTGTGCAACAAACAGGTCGGCGGTTCCGAGATCGTGACTCGTGTGGTGGAGGATTTGAAGGATCCCTCAGAGCCGTACCGCAAGATGGTGGTAGAGACCATCGAGAAGGTCCTCACCAACCTGGGAGTTGCCGACATCGACGTCAGGCTCGAGGAACAACTCATCGACGGCATTGTATACGCCTTCCAGGAGCAGGTGGCACGACCCCCCTCCACCCCCTCCCCCTCTGAACCCCTTTCTCTCTCTCACACACACAGACACTGACCTCTTTGCTCTGCGTGTGTAATGCAGTCATCTGAGGATACCAAAGTGATGCTGGACGGCTTCGGCACGATAGTCAACTGCCTGGGGAAGCGCGTCAAGCCGTACCTGCCGCAGATCTGCGGTATGATCCGGTGGCGGCTCAACACGCCCTCGGCCAAGGTGCGGCAGCAGGCCGCCGACGTGGTGGCGCGCATCGCTGTGGTCATGAAACACTGCGGCGAGGAGCAGATGCTCGGACACCTGGGGCTCTACCTCTACGAATACCTCGGCGAAGAATACCCAGAGGTCAGACCACCACACACACACACACACACACACACGTGTGTGTTTGCCTTGCAGGTGCTCGGGTCGATCCTCGGTGCGTTGAAGGCGATCGTCAATGTGGTGGGCATGCAGAAGATGTCCCCGCCCATCAAGGACCTGCTGCCGCGGCTGACGCCCATCCTCAAGAATCGCCACGAGAAGGTGCAGGAGAACTGCATCGACCTCGTGGGCCGCATCGCTGACAGGGGGGCCGAGCTCGTCAGCACCAAGGAGTGGGACAGGATCTGCTTCGACCTTCTGGAACTGCTCAAGGTGAGAGAGCCACACAAACAAAGACAGACAGACAGACAGGGAGGGAGGGAGGGTGGAAGTGGTTGTGCCGGTGGTTGTGCTGTTCGTCAAGGCTCACAAGAAGGCGATTCGTCGTGCGACGGTCAATACGTTCGGGTACATCGCCAAGGCAGTCGGGCCGCAGGACGTCATCACCACACTGCTCAACAACCTACGAGTACACCCCCCACCCTCCCCTGCAGAAATCTCTCTCTGACGACCGACATGATCTGATCTCTGCAGGTGCAAGAGCGTCAGTTGCGGGTGTGCACGACTGTGGCCATCGCTATCGTGGCCGAGACGTGCGGCCCCTACACCGTGCTGCCCCATCTCATGAACGAGTACCGCGTCCACGAGCTCAACGTCCAGAATGGCGTGCTCAAGTCGCTGTGCTTCATGTTCGAGTACATCGGAGAGCTCGGCAAGGTCAGCCTGGGCGCGGTGCCGCCTCACACACACACACACACAGAGAGAGAGAGAGAGGGAGAGTGCATGTGTGGTGTGTTGTGTTGTGTTGTGTTGTTTGGGGCTGTGCTGTGTGTTGGGTGCGGCGATGGCAGGATTATATATACCCCATCTGTGGTCTGCTCGAGGACGCGCTGCTCGACCGTGACCTGGTCCACAGACAGACCGCCTCGTGGACGTGCAAACATCTCGCCCTGGGGGTACGCCCCCACTCACATACACACACACACAGACACACGAGTACCTGGATGTCTTCTCTCTCTGTGTGTCTATGTGTGTGGTTTAGGTGCATGGTTTGAGTCGTGAGGACGCGTTGATCCACCTGATGAACCACGTGTGGCCGAATATTTTTGAGACGTCGCCGCACCTCATCCAGGCCGTCATCGACGCCGTGGACGGCTTCAGGGTCTCAATCGGCCCGGGCATCGTACTGCAGTACCTGCTGCAGGGACTCTGGCACCCTGCCAGAAAGGCAGGCGGCTACACACACGGCACATCGCACAGACAGACACAGGGGTGTGTGTGTGTGTGTGTGGTGTTGTGGCGTGTGTCAGGTTCGCGAGACGTATTGGCGTCTGTATAACAACGTGTATATGGGCCACCAGGACGCACTCGTGTCCTTCTACCCAAATGTCCCACCCGAACCAAACAAGTCAGCACACAAAAACACACCAACGCCTGTCAATGCCCCTCTCACATTTGGCTCGCTCTCTCTCTCTCTCTCTGTGTGTGTGTGTGTGGTTCTCCCAGCGATTACACGCGCCACGAGCTGTGCGTGCTGCTGTGAGACGAGAGCTTCCAGAGAGAGAGAGGGAGGGAGGGAGGGAGGGAGAGAGGGAGTCAGTCAGCCCAGCCGTGTTGGTGGTGTGTTCGTGGTTTTGTGAGGGGTGAGCCCTGGCCGACGGGCGTCTCAATGTGTCGTCGAGCCGAGATCGGCTCCACAACGCCTTGTGTTGTCTGACGCCATGGGCCAGGACACGGATGCAAGGGCAGTCCGGGAGGGGAGGGATGGGGAGGGGGGAGTTTTAAGGAATGCACACTCCCAACACACACACAGCAACGGTTCAGACAGACAGACAGACAGACAGACAGTGGTGAAGTGGGGGTGAAAAGGCATACGAGGGCTGATTGACGTCCGTCGTGGTGGGGTGTGGGGCTACTGACTGATTGAGAGAGAGTGCTGATTGAGACTGACTGGTTGCAGTGAAGCTGCGTGGCTGCTTGTTACTCGGTTGATGGTTCACTGACGTAAACACTGACGTAAACATGACGACATGTATGCTGTGCCTGGACGGATGGATGTCTACATGTCTATCTAACTGCTTTGCTTCACGTGAATGAAGCGTCCTGGGATGATCTGATCATCATCATGACAATCAAATGGAAACGCACCACAAACGGACACAAGCATGGCGTGACATGCCCACCCACCACACCTTGGAACCCAGACAGACACGCTACGCTACGCTACACACGACAAACTCTATACTACACTGCCACACACACACACACATACACACGAACACACACACGATCACACACACGCACAGCCACCATCCCTCTGCCTACAAGTTGACACACCCTAATCTACTCTACTCGCGGCCCCCTACACACCCCGCCCTAACGGTCACTCACTTCACATATTCCCGCCACTTCTTCTCCAGCATCTGTTTGGCATCCCCATCAGCACTCGTCGGCCGATGGAAATGCGCCGGCACGATCATCTCCACATCCCATGACAACACTTTCGTGGCAAAGTCGGGCGTATTGGAGGCGGCGTCTCTGAGTGCCTTCCTCCTGTAGAAGGGCCCGCCGTCAGAGTACCCCAGAGTGTTGGAGGCGATCCGCGAGAGCGGCTTGGGAGGCGACAGCAGGTCGTCGGTCACATACAAGAATCCATCAAAGGTAAACACCGCCCTGGCAAACGCACGCAGACACACAGAGGGGGGAGGGAGGGTTGTGTGTGGTGGGGTGGGGTGGCTCGTGTGCCGGCCGTGGTTACAAACTTGTTTCGTTTGTCGTATATCCACATTTCCGTGTTCTGTCCTTTGATCTTGAGCATGGAGAAGTCCAGGTCAGCGGCGAGGTCGTCGGGGAGGTTGCCGTCGGCTGACATGACCCACCCAGCGCTGAAGCCGCCGGCCTGGGGATAGCCGCTCATCATCCACCTCGGGGCAACAGATATCAACTGCATTGCATGCCAGTGAGGCGAGGCGATCCACGCCATGCACACCAACATCTGTCTTGGTGCATGTGTGTGTGTGTGCGTGTGTGTGTATGTGCCTTAGCGTCAGGGAAGAGTCGCTTCCACTCTGGCGCATAGATATGGTGCTCGGGGGCCGTGGCGCCACATATGATGTAGTCAGGCGCGCTGCCCACCTGGGAAAACACGAACACACCCACCCCCATGCCCACCACCCACCCCACACCCCACACCCCAGGCCCACACAGACGCACCGGACCTACCAGCTTCTCATACATCTTGAGCAGCTCCACTGTCGGCGCCACAGGGTTGACAATCGCCACCTTCCCACTCGACAGCTTGATGACGCTCATCCGCAGGTTTATGTTGCGCTTGGCGAACAAAAAGGGCTGCGTGAAGGTGCTGAGAGTGGGCGAGAGTTCCTCGACGGTGGTGGGGCGGTGCATGGGCTTCAGCAGGGGCGTGTACGTCTGCGAGGCATCCACCGGCCTGCAGCAGGCCGCAGACGGCAAGGGAGGGAGGGAGCACACCATGCTGCTGCGATGCGTGTCTGTCTGCCCACTTTTTGCCTCGCAGTTTGCTGAGGTAGCCGGCGAGAGGGGCGACCGTCTGGCAGAAGGGAGGGCACATCCATACACATGTTGTGCTGCCATGGGTGAGGTGAGGCGTGTGTGCATGTGCATTTCTCACCTGGAAGAACCTGTATGCAGCCACACACATGCACAGAACCAACACACTTTGGACCGTTTATCTTTTTCCCTCCACAGAATGCCAAGTTACATGGGCACCTCAATTATCTGTCTACCTGTATGAGTTGGACATGGTCCACGGCTGAGCCTCGCGGAATGGCAGAGGGTGACCGACCTGTTTGTTCAGTCAGACACAGACCGAAACTCTCTCATGGATGCATGGATGGATGGACGTGGGTTTGCTCACCTCACCCCACCCTCTCTAATCTGACTCACTCACCGCATAGAAGACGCCGAAAATCCCTCCGAGGCCGCCAGTGTTGCCGGCTGTCCTGTCAGCCGGGTAACCCCCGGTCCATTTGGTCACCCTAAGCAGATCGAAGAGACCGGACAGGTCAGAAGCCACGCACAACACACACGTGTGGTGTGGTGTGCCCATAGATGTGCTGTATGTGATGTGCATGTTTGCAAAGCCGCACTCACTTTCCGTCCTCATTGAATGTCGCAGAGATGGCCTGTGGAACACTGTCAATGACCTTTCCTTCCGGCTCATACACTGCACACGCACCCACAGGCACCCAGACAGACACAGACAAAAGCAGACAACGCAGCCAGCTGGTGCGCTCATTGATTCGTTCATTGTGTGGCGAGCAGGACTGACCTCCAGCGAGGAGCCCCGTGTGTGTGCCCCTGGCGCGTGCCATCCACCACACCCGATTGGGCTCCAGCGGGTCGACCACAAAGCCAAAGGTGTTCTGATCGTTTTTGTTGCAACCATCTTGCAAGAAGCCATGGTAGGGACCTGGTAGTGATTGATCTATACCTACCTGCTGAAAGTCAGGGATGGCATCCAGGAGGTTGAAGTTGCCGACCTACACACAGCCATCCAGCAGACAGAGAGGGATGTGTGCACGTCCAGCCAGATGCACGCCAGAGGCCCCCGTATACTCACTGCCGAGAGGTACTGTTCCTTGGTCAGCGGGCCAACGACAGGGAAGACAAACTGACACAGACACACACACAGCTGCTGCCTGACTGCCTGCCTGCTTGTGTGTCATTGTGTCATCTTTGTGTGTACTTGGAAATCGTCCGCCAGAAGATCTGGGTTGCTAAGCCCGTTGTTCGCCCGCACAAAGTCCTTAGCTTTCTCTATCCTGCGCACACCAGCAACAGGCAGACAAACAATGCAATCACACGATTGCATCCTTCTCCATCTGCTTACATCTTGTCTGGCGGAATAGCGAACGGCTTGCTCTGCGACGGATCTGGTCCCTCTGCGAAGAACTTGGAGTCGGGGTTGGCCGCTTTCTTGCCGACAAAGGGATACACGCTGGCCATTCTCGGCACGGCACGGCCGAAACATGCACGGTGGTGAGGCCGTGAACTCATCGCCTGTCCACCCATGGATGTTAACAGAAGGGCAACAAACAGAGAGATCCAGATAGCCATGCCCTGCTGAGCACTCCGGCAGACTTGGAGGGACGTCATTTTCGGCCAAAGAGCGACAGGCAAGAAGATCTGAGGCTCGCGTCCGCCTGGGGGCTGTGGGGGGTGAGACGCGAGTCTCAGATGATGGCGGCCCTATCTGATCCCTTTGCCTACATCTGCGGCCTTCTGTGCCGAGTGAGCAAACGCCATGTACCTGCCTCTACGTTATGTAGACGCACATTCCTTCCTGCCTCTCTGTTTTGTTTGTCTTCAGCATGAGTTTGTGCAGACCGGTGAGCCGACTCGCACGGCGTGGGGCGGCGGCATGCGTGTACTCGACTCTTTCTTCCTCACACCCGATGGCGAGGTCGCTGACGTCTACCTCTTCACCGGCTGCCGAGGCAAGAAACACGAGGACGAAGGGGCGCCGGTTCGCAGCTGGTACGAAGTCACATTGAGGGGGATGGCACAAACACATCATTCCTCCTTGATTCAGGCTCGGCGCCGCTTCTTACCTCCAGACGAAATCTGCCGACCGGCCAGCACGGTTCGTTCCCTTCCCCACATCTCCCGCTGCGGCGCAGCAGGATGAGGACTTGGATGTGGGCATGGAGAAGCCAGCCTCCTTCTTCATTGCGTGGGGAAGGAAGGCTCCTGTAAGGCGGCCGTCTACCGCTCAAAGACCTTCCACTGCCGGTGAGCGAGCGACCGAGGCAGCTGTCGGCGATAGTGTCGTCTACGTAGCCTGCTCAAGTGTTCTGCACGGGCCTGGGTGATTTCAGGGTTGACATCTGGTGCGATGGTTCGTCCAGTGGTGCCCTCGCCGTGTCCTGCGAGCGTCTATCAGACGAGTGTACACCCGCTGACCAAATCTGAGCTACACAAGATGGTCTGGAGTAAAGCCAATGGCTGAAACGATGGAGTGTCATACTCGGGCTGTTGTCGATGCATGCAGGTGGAGCTGAAGATGTTTGAGGGCCTGAAGATGTTGCAACCATATGTAGATGTCAAGGTGACTAACTATAGATAGACCAGAAGATGCACACTGTGTTCATGGCAGGGAGGCGGCGTCTTTCGCGCCCTGTATCGCCGAAAACAGCCGACGTCTCGTGCCCCGTCGCCCACCACCAAGAGAAAGGGGCGACCCCCTCCAACTCCGCTTCCCGACGCCCTGGGCTCCACTTGCAACATATGGCGGACTTTTTGGGACGTACCACCGGCTCCCCCGAGACAGCAGCCTGACTTTGGTCTCAGCAGGGCGCAAGTGGGGGGTCACGATGGGGATGCGGGCGGTGCTGGTGGGCATGATGCGGAAGCGGGCGCGGGCGTCGTTAGGACATTTGAGACTGTCTCGTCCCGTGCGCAGCATGTGAGGGAAGGGAGGGAGACACGAGGCAACCGATGAGCACCTCCTGTGCCGTTGTCTATGTGTCTGTGTTGCAGAGGTCCTTGGAGATAAGGTCCCCTGAACTTAATGGTCAGCAACAGAGCCGGCCAGTGCATTGGACAGTGAGGCATAGGCATACGTGTCGTGTTTGTCCTCCCCAGGTCTGTTGCGTAGTTTGATGCATCAGCTTGTGCTCTTCGTGCAACACGCTGGCCTAATGGTGAGCATTGCACAGCACACGACACACACAGGAAGAGATTGGCATCCGTCGTCTGTCGCTGACAGGAGGTCTTCGAGCTTGATGTTGAGTTTGCTATCGACAAAAACAGGCGGGTAGGCACGCACCCACCGAGCACATAGTTAATAGGATGGATGTCTCTCCCCTGTTCCGCTCCTACAAAGGTCTGGCTATCCTACGCCCACACCTGCATCGCAAAAAGGAAGAAAAAACGGCCAAGGCGACCTCGCAGCGCATCTGACATAGAGAGCCAGTGGCGGACCCAAGACAGACCCACCAAGATGGCCCTGATGCAAAAGGTGAACATTTCTTGCACAAACATGCGCTCACTTTCGCATCCGTTTCCTCTTCTCATCGCCAGATCGTAGTGGCCCCCTGGCGGACGACACGAGGCGCATGTGCGTTGTGCGACCGCCCTGCCTCCACCATCACAGCCCCAAAAGGCCTGGCGCAAGCAGCAGCTGCCCCGCCGCCGCCAGTGGACGACGGTACCTTATCACTCCCGCAGAGAAAAGGTGTAAAGGTGGCCGACAGCGCTCGACAGTCGCACGTCGAGGAGGCGCCTGAGGAGGTGCTGCAGGACATCCTGGTCGGTCGGCGAGGGGACGGCGGGACAGCGATGTGGGTGAAGACTTGTCACGTCTCATGTGTTGTTTTCGCAGCCTTCCAGCAACACGCCTGAGCATTGGATGCTGGTTCACCGCACGCTCAAGAGAATCAAAAACGCTGAAAAGTTAGTGAGACACGCTCACCGGATCGGATCAGAGTCAACACGCGAACCACTCACCGTCTCGCTTCTTGCCATGCAGGTGCTGGTTCGATCCTCGCCCCTTCCGCGAGGCGTTGGTGCGGGTCCCGTACAAAGACGTACTGGAAAACGGTATACTGATGAAAAAGAAATATCTCCGAGGAAACCAGTGTACACGCCACGTGTGTCTCGCTCAGTGTTGCTTCCCAGCGTCAAGCCGTCTCGTATTCGCTCATCCATTCGCTCGTCAATTCGCTCATTGACCGACAAAGGCACTCAGTCCAAGCGCGTGTCGACATTGAGTCGCGAGAGTTCCTTCGCTGAGGTGATCAGCGAAGGTCTGGGTGACAGAGAGTGGCGACGCTTCAGATACCTTGAGTCAGCAATGAAGCCTGTCCTGGTGACACAATGCACTCGTCTGCGTGCATTTGGCAGTTCTGAATCTTTTTGTGTGTGTCGTGTCGTCTGCAGATGTGTCCAAACTGCTGGAGCATGATGGAACGCTTCCGGTCGATCAAGCAGCGCGCCCAGGCGCAGATCGAACGCACCAGTCGCCCCTCCCCGCCCCGCGAGCGACCGCCATCCCCATTCAACCGACTCAAGAAAGTGCTTCAGAGCACTGCTCCCTCAGCAAGCACACTGATCCAGGAGAGCATTCGCGATCGGCGAAAGTCATCCATCAGGAAAAAGGGTATTCTCGCGTCGTTTGCGTTCAAATCACTGCCGTCGGATGAGGATCTGCCGGTGCCGGGGACGCCCGAGGGGCCCGGCCAGGCCGGCGTGAGCGTGCGGCTACCGACGCCTTCGTCCGATGATGCCGCGACTGACACGATAGGCGAAGAGGCGATGCGGGAGTGTCTGTCGCCCAGAGAGGAGGAGGTCGTGATGAAGAAAAAGAAACCTGTCTTGAGGAAACCCATGTATGACCTCGAAGACCCGTGGGATGAGATGGAGAACAGGCCACTCAGGAGGCCGCAGGTAAAGGCAATGGTTATCGTCTCCCCACACACGCAGTTCCCCTTTCCTTCTCTTCTGTGTGTGTCCAGAGTTCGCCCAGCCGCTTCCTGCATACGCGTCAAGCCATCGCAGGAGACTACATTCGACGCGGCATCAAGTTAGTGGCTAACTGGCACACTGCACATACCACATTACATTACCTCTCTCATGTCTCGACCTCCACAGGCGTGTTTTGCCAGACCAGCCGGACCGATTGGAAGCGGATCAACGATACACCGTCCAGTCGCCTTCGTCGCAGTCATCCGCTCATTCTTCGGAAGGGGAAGGATCACCTGTCTTTGGATATCGCGAGGGGAGCGAGCCAGAAGAGTCAGTCACGCAGAGCGAAGGATCCGCTGCTCATGTGGTAGAGGAGACACAGGAAGTGCCAGCGGAAGAGCGACCAACACAGGAGCAGCCGCTTGCAATCAGTGAGGAACCAGTGCAGAATGACGAAGAGCCGCCAGAGGATGAATTGGAGGCGTGCGCCATGCTCGAGATGCTGGATTCACCCCAAATGCGCACTCTGTCATATCGCAGTCAGAGGCGGAGTGTCAGAAGCAAGACCCTGCCCAACCGCAGCCCTGAAAATCAACAGCAGCAGCAGCCATCCAGGCTCTCCCGGCTCGGTGCCGCTCTGTCGAGGACAGTGCGAGGTGGCAAGAGCCAGCCACAGCCATTGGTGAAGGACGAAGACGGGGCGCTTCAAGCCACATCAGCAGAGAGAAAGCAAGAAACCGCCGCAGCAGGGGAGAATGCCAATGTTCACGAAGCTGTCAGTGGAGAGTCACCAGCAGAAGCAGACGGAGGTTTCCAGCTTGAGACATCGCCAGATGAAGCGAGAGCAAGCGCAGAGGACATACAAGCGCCCCAGGGGCTTGCTGACGACCACGAAGCCCCGACGGAAGAACGGCGGGAAGACTTCCTCCCCACAGAGACGCCCGAAGCTGCAGAATCGGTGGCGCCAGCTGTGACACGTCCATCCGAGTCCCTCACCCTCCCCATTCCTTCCATCGCCCAGACCTCCATCACACCCATATCCGACACCCCCCTGCCCACACTCGTCCGCTCACACCTGGACCAGATCTACAGGACGGCACTTCACCGCGTCCTCATCGAGCCAGCCTCACTGGAGAGCGTCCCTCGCGACCTCTACACAATCAAGGAAGAGGAGATACAAAGGAGAGCAGACGAGCAGGACATGCTCACGGCAGATCCCCCTGCGAGCCTGTGTCGGTACTTCTCTCTGGATGTGATCGAGGAGGAGAAGACGGAGAGCGAAGTGGAGAAAGAGCCGCAGGAAGGGGCCAGGCAGAGATGGAATCGTCTCCTCCAGAACGTGGCGTTTGCGCGGTCGGCGACGTTTGATGCATCGAAACACTCAACCATTGAGTCCGTCCATCAGACGAATCTCCTCCAAGTATGACACACCGACGGCCTGGTCCGCCTCTTCGTTCCCGTTTGGCACCGTCCTGTCTCCTTTGACTCCAGGCTACTGAAGGGCTTTTGGATTTGATCAAGGCCTTTAAGGCAAAGGATATGGAGGGCCGCGGTGAGCTGTCCAAAGTGATTGTCCGCGCCATTATTCGCAAACAGCTGCCAAAACAGGTAGGGGAGTTGGCACGCGAGCGTCCACGCAAATTTGTCTCTCTACTTATCTGCATCTCTGTGTCTCCTACAGCTTCGGCAGTATCTGATCCATGAGCATGAGGACATCTTTGGCGGCGATCCCAATGACTTAATTTCCCTCGCCCAGTTCACCGCCATCATATCTCAGGCAATCCACGGGGGCGGGAGCAGGGTCCAATCACCCATCGCACTCGACCTCCAAGAGGCCAAGCAAGAGCGATTGCGGTCCATGAGGCCCTTCCGCGCGGTGCAGTACGGCAAGCGCCCTCCCAGAAAGATAGACACAGCGGAGTTTGGTCTCCCAGAGTCGGCCTTCTTCCCTCCTGGCTGGGGAGGAGCACAGCCGGTGTCGACACGGATGTCTACGGCCCAGTTTGGCGGCAGCGGTGTGACGAGCCGGCGCAGCAGCTTTCGCAGTGGGGCCAGTGGGCAGAGTGTGGGTGGGGGTGCGGGCAGCAACAGCGCGTCCAGAGACAGCCTCAAGGACATCTACAAGAGCAGACTGGTTGAGTTCGTGAAGGCCAAGTCTGATGGCCTTGCCTCCGTCTCAGCCGTAGGAGAGAGGAGGGAGGCAAGGGCGGAGCTAAGAAAAAGGCTAAGCCATTGATTGATAAGTGTGGAAGGGAAGACAGACGATGTGGTTGAGCTGAGGATTGGTAAGTCTTCATTTCGGATCTGTCAGATATTGAAGGGCTCTCGAACGCCTTGTGACACATTCGATATGCAACAGGCCATTGACTTTTCAGATGTACGTCCGTGCGGATTGGTCCATGCAAGAGATACATTTGTTGACTGATAAATGGAAGACACATTTCTCCCTGTCGACGTCCATCCCACCCTTATTCAGACTAACTTCTCCGTCATGCTCTAGAGTGCCCGATTGAGGCACACAAGCGGATACCCCTGATGGGCGCACTCGGCAGGCCGCTGGACATGTGCTGGCGAGTACCCATGAGCCGCCTGCCACCGCCTCACCGCAGGAAGGCGCCGCACATCGCCGCCAGTGGAGGCCGCCTGGCATACTTCGATAAGGGTAGAGCGCAGCGCAGAGCCCTGGAGACAGGCAGAAGCCGCCTACAAAGGCGAAGGTCTGCCTGTCTGCCTCACCTCATCAAGTTCATGATCCGTTTCTCTATGAAGGAAGGGCCGGATGGGAAGCACATTAGAAGGAGAGCACCGACCATTGCTGGGCCTGATGGAAAGAGAGAGGACACATTCAGACCCACGATGACTCTGGTCAGTCACGGCTCACTTGTCGTCCAAGAGCAGCACTCGCCTGAGGTCAGGGAACAGATTAGCCAGGTCCTTGCTGTGGGTGGTCGTCAAATCCACCGTGCGATGGTCGTACCTGTCCATAAGAATGTGACGAGAAAGCGTTTTGCACCGATCCCCCTGTGTACCTTGCTTTGAAGACCCTCCCGCCGCAGTGCTCCTCAAGTCTATCCAGGATAGGGCGGCTCCATGAGTAAGGCGAATTCGTCCATAGCACGACGTGCAGCGGGACGCTATTGTTCAGCCACCTCAGGAAGCTAACCACAGACGGGCGAAGATATACCTGCATGGCAGCAGCCGCCGGTGCATGTGCGAATGCGTGTTCTTTATCTTCCTGCTTATGTACCGTGTTGCGCTTGTCAGGAGAGAACATCTCTCCTTCGTACTGAGTGTAGAAACCCGTTTCTTTTGGCCCGATAGGCAGCGTTTCGTTAGCAAAGCCACAAATCAGGGTGTGGTCCTGCACACACAAACAGACGGGTGCTTTGGCCAGCCGGGTGCGAGTCCTCTTTCACGCATAGCGTCCCCACTCTGGTAGCGTCCATACCAGGTCCAGCACAAGTGTGAGCGCCTTCGAGGGCGTTTTCTCGTGGCTGAAGTGGAGTGCATCTAGCTTCCGATGCGGAAGCAGTGCTGCAGCACCAAGAGCAGCGAGAAGGGCAGTCGCCGTCATTTTGATCATGGTTTCCGCGTGTCTTGCAAATTCATGAAAAATTTGCATCGCGGGGCCGATCTGCGGCCATGGATCTGTGGAGGTGGGAGAGACCTTACACACTCACCCCACCAATTCCATCATTTTTGACTCACGTACTGCTGTCCTTCATGTGCGCAGGCCAGTGGCTTCTCGGCCGCATTGACGAGATCTCGGACCTGCGGACCGCTTGGGGTGCGCTTGGCGGGCTAGGTGACACACGGTCGGATCAATGTGATGCGTGATGAATGAATGGACGCAATGCGGAATGGATGGATGGATGAATGGATGAATGGATGCGTGTGTGTGGTGTGGTCAGGTGTGCTGTAGCGGCTGTCTATGACGTCCCAGTCGGTGCAGGTAGTGGCACGCCACGACACCCCGGTGACGGCTCCCACTTATGGGCCGGATGACGAGCTCTTCGTCGTGTCGGAGACCGGCAACATCTACAAATACTCGGGCGATGCGGTGAGCAAGGCCGTCAATGGGAGGGGGGGATCAGCACACAGATAGGCGGGCAGGGCAGAGGGACGGATGGTCGTCGATGTGTGTCTGAATCAGGAGGCGGGGACGGAGATCTCTGCTGAGGTCAGTGGGACCCTCAGGCTCCGTCCGCCGGCATGTGTTTTCCTTTCTGTGCGTGATGTGTTTTCATTCAGGTGTGGGGCAATTCGTCGGGGCAGCCGTACGGCATATGTTTCGATAGCAACACGGGCGTAGCATTCGTGTGCGACGCTGCACACCAGGTCGGTCAGCGGGGGAACACACAGGCGATGCACGGCGAGGGCTGCCTGTACACACACATGACGCAATGCAGGCCGTGTTTCGCATGGCGCGCACTGAGGATGAAGACGGGTTCCCCAGGCAGGTCGGAAGGCAGAAAGGCCAAGACACACTTGCAGATAGAGGCCGCATTTTCGCCTGTCGGATGGATGGATGGGTGTGTGTGTGCTGCTGCAGGAGATCGCTCCGTATGTGAAGGAGTACGAGAACGTGGCCCTCCTGGGACCCAACTCCATCGTCATCGCCAAACTCAACGGTGGGCAACAGACAGGAAGAGCCAGACATACATGCGCCGGTTCATGTTATGTGATGTGGCACGCACAGGGACGTTGTATTTCACCGATAGTGGCCCGTTCGGCGAGTCCAACATCGCCAACCCAACTGTAGGCCGTCTCTTCTGCGTTGTGTGCAGCGTCCGTCAATCCATCCATCCATCTATCCATCAGGGTAGCGTGTTTGCTGTGGCGCCGGACACCCAGATCCTGCTGCCGCTCCTTCACAGAGCCCTCGCACACCCATGCGGCCTAGCCATGGGGCCCGACGACTCCACACTGTGAGAACGACCATGAGACAACACACCGACAGAAATTTGTGTGTGTGTGTGTGTGTGTGTGTGCGGATAGGTTTGTCTGCGAGACGTATCGCAACCGCATCCTGCGGTTCTCGCAGCATCCCGCCGGTGTGTTCCACTGCAGTGTGTTCGCACAGCTGCACGGCCGCCTGGGGCCCACAGCCATCGCCGTCGGCTCTACGGGCGACATGTACGTCGCACACTACGACCACCAAGGTGCGCTCGTCATGTGTGGGGAATGGAATGGGGGCGGTGGGAAGGGGTGCCAGTATGTGTTGGTGTGTGTGTGCAGATGTGGCGACTTCCGGCCGCATATTGGTATTGGACAGTGAGGGTGAGATCCAGGCCATCAAGGAGGTGCCGGGGCCGGAGATCACCGGGCTCTGCCTCTCCAAGTGAGCAAAGTGCATGGGCGCATTGACTTACGGGCGGCACAAGCACATGTGTCTATGTGCGTGGATGTGTGTGTTGGGTGGTCTGCTCTGTGTGTGTGTGTGGGCAGTGACGAGAAGACGTTGTTTGTGACGGAGAGCTCGACGCGGTGCCTCTACCGAGTAGCACTCGAGGAGTGAGTAAATGGACACATACATACGTGTAGGTAGAGGAGATACTCACTCGGCTGCTGCATACTCGGCTGCATACCACACACGACGACTGGCTGCATGCGTGTGTGTGTGAGAGGGACCCTTCATGCCATGGGTGTGCTGTGCTGTGCTGCATATCTGCCATGAGTGCCATGAACGAACGTCCCATTTCACACGCACGTATTATGCATGTCAGTGTCAGTCAGCACAGCCCCCCCCTGTCTGCCTCAACCGCACCACATGTACACAGAGATCCGTCCATCCAGCCATCACGCCACGCACCTCTCAGTGTCACGTCACTCGTCATCGAGGCGCATCTTCTTCCGCATCTTGGCCTCTTCCTTGCCCTTCATGCGATAGTAATCCCGCTTCAACTCCCTCCGCTTGGCTGCACGACGTGCCTCATCCTGTCGACACACACCCACACCACACAGACAGACAGACAGACGCACAGCCAGAGTGCACGCCGCACCCAACCATCCGGCCAAATATCGCACCCACCTTGGCAGCGAGTTTCTGTTTGAGTAGTCTTTTCCTCTGGCTGGTCTCCTGCTTGAGTCGCACTCTGTTCTTCTGGATGGTGTGCAGGCGGCCCAGCAAAGTGGCGACGCTCTTCTCGTAGTCAGACAGGCCCACGCGCGTCATTCTCGACACCAAATCGGTCTTCCTCTTCTGCTTCTGGTCCAGCTGATGGAACACACACACACACACACACGGATCCACGTGTGAGCGTGTTTCTCTCTCTCACTGACTGACTGACCTTTGGCTTTGATGCGAATGGCAGGTTCTTCTGCAGCTCCTTGGGTATCTTGAGGGGGTTGAACTTCCTGGGCGGCCGATACGGCTTGGCGCCGTAGTCGCTGTCGGGCGTGTGGGGGATGGGCACCTGCCGCTCCTGCCGCAGCTCGGCGATGGTCTTCATGCGCCGCCAGCCGCCCTCTTTGCCCTCGGTGGTGCCGACATCCAGCACGGGGTTGTAGAAGCGCTTCGGCTCAACCTGTCAGTCATGTGGGCGGACACACACACACATACATGTACAGGGAGAGAGGGAGGGAGAGGGGGGAGGGTCACGTGGCAGTCAGTCACCTTGATCCATGCCTTGCAGATGACGATGTCGCTCATGAGGATGCGGTCCTCGAATGTGGCGCGGAAGCTGCCCCTGTCGTCCAGCGACTTCTTGATCTGACCGCGAATGCCGCTCACAGTCTGAAGCTTCGCACCTGCATCGCATCAGGGGACACATGCGCAGAAAGGGAGAGAGAGAGATCGCGATAGGCGGAGCAGTTGCTGTGTGTGCCGTGTGTGTGCCGAATCGAATGCCCGGTCGCGTGACTGACTGACCGATGCACTTGGAGACTTCGAAGCTGCTGGAGAACATGTTCTTGATGAAGGCCGTGTTTTTGAAGATCTTGTAAGGCTCGCCAACCTGGCATAACACACCACACCACACCACAGACCATTCGCCGATCCATCCCCCCACACATTGCACCGCACCAGTTTGAGTTTTTTGACGATTTTGAACTCAGGCGAGGTCTCGAGCACCACCCCAGTGGCCGACACGCGGAAGTTCACAACGGGGTCCCACCGCCGAATGGCCACCACACCGGTCGACGGCGGGGTGGTGGGCCCGTAGAAGGTGCACGTGCAGTGCAGGTGCTCCGGTGTGTACTTGAGCATCCGCGTCCTGCACACAGACAGACAGACAGACAGACAGAGACCCAAAGGATGTCAGTGCGACGAAGGAGTGTGGGGTGTGTGTGTGTATATGTGTACCTAATTCCGTTTCTGTCTTCGATTGCGTAGAGCGGCAGTGATTGGAAGCGCCGCCACCCCATCGACACCAGCAGCACGTCATTGGCCTTGAGGATCCGGGGAGCCCACCTGCACACGTCACGTGGCAAGCATCGCATCATACACACGCACACGCGCCTTCACCCTCCCTCGATTCCCCACCTGTGTTTCTTGATCTTGACCTGCATCATGCCCAGCCCGCTCTCGCCGGGCAGGATGCCGCCCAGCAGAACTGGCCGGAAGGGGTCCTTCTGCAGGGTCTCCATCCATGCCGGCGGGATGCCCTCGACGGTCACGCGCACATACGTCCCGATGGCCAGCCCCTGGCCCGTCTCGGACGGCATCCCCACCGCCTCAGAGATGAGCGCCTGCCTCTCAGCCCGCTCGCGCCTCTTCTCCTCCTCGGTCTTCTCACCAGTTTCTGCCTCCGCCTGTTCCACCTTCGGCTTTTCCTCGGCGGCTTGTTTGTCATTATTGGCGGCCTTGTCGTCTTCATCGAGCCCGCCCCCGGTGATGAAGAATGTGGCCTTGAGTGCGGCGAGGGTGGATGGCGTCCAGAGCCTGTCGATGTGGAGAAGGGACTCGGGGGTGCTGAATGAGAGGGATGGGGAGGGGGCGTCTGAGTGGGTCTCATCTTGGCGGGCGTCGGTGTCGGGCTGCATGGTGGGGGCCACAGATGCCACAAAGGCGAGCAGGGGGATCCTGAAATGACAACACGTATGGATGTGACATGGAGCGGGAGTCCTGCTCGTTCCGTGCATTGCGTACTTGGAACAGTCTGATCCATCCGCCAGTGGCACATCGGGGGGAATGTAGCCGAGAAGGCTGGACGGAGCGCCCTCAGGCACCTGACAAACTCACACAATACCCACTCATGCGTGACACTTGAGTCATCCGGCTGCCTGCCCCTGCCCCTGCCCCTGGCCCTTCCTGCCTGTCACACCTTTGCGGCCATCTCCTCTTCGTCGCTCTCATCGTCTTCGAACAGACTGAGCCGCTGGTGGTCGCTCTCCTCGCGATCGAGGCCATACTGCAGCCCCTGCCACAAGCCGCCCCCTCCAGACGCACACGCCTTGTCGACGCCCTGCCTGCCTTTGCGGCCGCCCCAGCTGCGCGAGAGCAGCTCCCATCGCCTCTCGGGTGGGCCATCGCCGCCGTAGACGAGCTCGGAGAGGGAGGGGGGACGCTCGAAGCGTAGACGGGCCTGCTCGGCCAGGTCGGGCTCGTCGGCCGCTGCCGGCTCCAGTTGTGCTGGTTCTTCATCCTCATCGTCAGGCAGTCCGTTGGCCATGTCGGCATGGTTGTCCTTGTGGTTGTTGGTGTCGAGCTGCCATGACTCGTCTGTCTGCATCATCTCCTGGTCGATGTCGTCATCGTAGTCGTCGTCATCGAGCTCGGCCTGGATGCGTTGTCGCTCCTTCTCCGACTGGTTGCCGGTCTCCTCGTCGAGTCGAGAGGGGTCGAGCTTCTCCTTGATCCGCCGCTGCCGGTCGCTGACCTTCTTGTCGAACAACACGCGACGACGCACACGGCCATCGGCTGACCGACACGCACAAGACAAGACCGACACGCAGATGTGTGTTTGGAGGGAAAAGGAGGATGGGGTACCTGCATGCACGGTTGTCTCGGTGGGCTCTTCCTCCTCGTCATCGTCGTCTTCTTCCATGTCGTCACTGTCGACGTCATCTTGGTCGTGGTTGATGAGTCGTGATGACCTAGGCAGCAGCTGCAGCTTCTGGCTGCGGACGGCCTCGTCCAGCTTGCTCTCAGCAACCTGATTGATGAGTGAGAGAGGAGAGGATGGGGACATGCAGTTTCGCATCCATGCTGTTGATGGATGCCTCTTGTGTTCGGCAATTGACCTGCAGGTTTCGGACGAGCGCGACGGCCTCAGGGAGGTCCTCCTCCTCGACCACACTGCATGGAGCACAGCACCACACACACACACACACGCATCCATCCATCCATCCGCTCGTGTGTGAGTGTTGGTGCGCATTCTGCCGCCACTGACTCGTCAGGTTCTCCATTCTCGTCTTCCTCCTCCTCCTCCTCGTCGCTGTCCCCATCGCTCTCCTCGTCCTGGTCCTCGTCTTCTTTGTCTTTACTGCCCGACGTGCCCGCCTGAAGCGCATCGGCGCGAGTGAAGGCCACCTTGTGGTCGGGCAGCTTGATGTACATGGCGTCGGCGTCGAATGCGACGGTGCCGACGTCACAGCCGGGGGCGTAGATGGACCGGTGCCTGGCCTTCAGGGTCCGCATCGTACGGCTGCCGACCTCGCCCTTCTTGCCATCCTTCCGCACCCTGACCAGAAAACCAGCAGCACGACACACACAGAGGGTTCCTTCCAGCTGTCTGCTGCGTGTGCCGCAGAGAGCTGGGTCACCTGTTGTCCTCTGGTGGCTGGCACGGGTCAAGGCTCTCCGTGATGTTGGTTATCGGGAAGTCACCAGCTCCAGGAATGTGCACCTGACAACCACACATCCATCCATCCATCACACATTCGGTGACGTGACACCAGCCTGGCCCCGTGAGCAACTGTGCTGTCTGATCTGACTGACCATTTGTCCCTCTCTGAATCTAGCGCCCTTGATGTAGCCATAGAACCAGGCAGTGCGGTCGTGTGTGGGCGGTAGGTGAGGTGGGGTCTGCTCCTCGAAGCGCAGTGACAGCAGGTAGGGGTGGGCCGACCGCCATGAGAGGGGCGCGAACTTCTGCACCGCGACGAAACGGGCCAGGTTGGCGATCTGACGCATGCAATGGAATGGGATGGGACAACAAGGCCACGTCGATTTCCTTCATGTGTGGTGTGTGGTGTGTGGTGTGTGGTGTGTGGTGGGCTCGGGCCGACCTCTGTTTTGTTGTATCTGCCGTACTGCAGGCCGCTGAGGTAGAAGAGCTTAGCACCGTCGTAGATCTCTGTCCAAAACCTGCAGAGGCGTGAGATGGTCTGCTGCTCTGATTCCCTCCCGCCCTTTCTGTCCTGCGTGCACACAAGACCTACCTGTTTTTCATTTTTTTTTTGGTCTTGCGCAGCCTCTTGTTGTCCTGAAAGGAGTCGAGGTGGGTCAATACGCCTGATTGATGAGATGAGCCATGGACAGGCAACAGGGCAGGAATCCATCCACCACACCACGATGGCATAGGGGTGTCTGTCATGTGACCCACCCCCCACCTAGAATCCGTGGGAAGCCGTGGACTTGTAGGAGGTTGAGGAACTCAAAGGTCTCCATCTCAAAACTGCAACACACACACACACACACACAGAGAGAGAGAGACACATCCATGCATTGCGTGCAGTCATGGCGCGGCATGGTATACTGTACGCCAGCCATCCCATCCGCCCGGCTGTTCGTACCCGAAGCTTGCGTCGATCATCAGCAGCACGAGGTCGGCGATCTTGGCTGCACCACAACATCAACACACACACACACAGACACAGAGAGAGAGATGGGCTGCGTGTGATGTTTGCGGTCTGTACTGTATATGTCTGTTGGCTGCCTACCTACCCAGGTCTAGCATGGTGTGCATGTCCTTGGGACACTCCACAAAGGTCAACCGACGACTCTTGCCTGACAGACACACGAATCAACGCAAAGGTCTAGATAGCTCCGCGTGTCGTCTATAGCCACCCACCCATCTCTGTGTGTTTCGCTTACTGGACACGAGCGTGACGGGACCCCGCACATCGCTGAGGGAGTGCTTGCAGTAGTGCTTCACCAGTGAACGGATCAGCGTCGTCTTGCCAACCTGACCACACCACACCACACCACACCCCCGCAGAACAATCAGCCAGCCGGTCAGCCAGTCGGCCCAGCACACCACACATACCCTCCCTGTATGTGTGTCACCCACCTTTGGCGGTCCCTGAACGACCACGATGAATGGCGGGGGGACGTCAGGTGTCTTGTCGATCACCTCCGCTTTCTCCCGCTTGGCCTGCAACTCGAGCGACCGCTGGACTGTCCGACGGACACTCGTGGCACCGCCAGAAAAACTAAACGCCTGACGGACAGACACACGCACACACGGATGCACCCATACACGGAAAGTTTTGGCAAATGCTTCCATCTCGTATGGATTGTGCAGCTGACCCTTGGGTTGTGTCTGTCGGCGCTTTTGAGGTCCTTCTCCTTCTTCTCGCGCTTGACCTTGGCGCCGCCACTCTTGGGCTTGTGCTGCTTCTTCGCCTTCGCCTCACCGGAATCCATCCCTCTCTGCGAGATCTTGATCTGCCTTATGAACCAATGCGCTCAGCCTACATTCAGAGCCGGAAAAAGAAAGGCACTCCTCTGCGGCTTCTCCTCTTTAAGCTCGCAGTATGTGAGCTTAGCTTTGGCGATCTTGCGGCCCCAATCGCATTTCTGCGCGTTTCTCGTGTGTTCAGGCGAAAGAAGCAACGACAAGGTAACGGAAAGAGTCATATGGACTCCCGGGAGCGGCCCCGCCGGCTGCAGCGAGGGGGGAATGCGACTGAGGAGGACCGGCCGCTCAAAGCCATTGTGGACGAGAGGTCATCGGCGCTGCAGGGGTTCGTGGAGATCACGCGACGAGAAGTGATCCGGCTGTTGAACTTCACGGTCAAGAACCGGCTGATCAAGACATACGGGGAGGACAAACTGCGGCAGATAGACCAGGACATCGCCTGCGCACTCGACGGGATCTTCGAGGGACTCAATGCATACGCTGATGTCACGCTGCGGGTGCTCACCGACAAGCTGCCACACACGGCACTCGCCAGCCTCCCGCCTCCTCCCGTTCCGAGACCACCGTCACCCCCACAATTGGCCAAGGAGCAGAGGGCAGCCGATATTGCGGTTGAGAGGGAGAGGGAGAGGGAGAGGGAGAGGGAGAGGGAGAGGAAGAAGACACGGCTGCCAGAAGGCACCAAGGTGCGCTATCGCGACTCGCAGGCCTCCCCCGTGCCGCCAGCCTCCCCGGTCCCACCGATGTCACCTCCCCCGCCACAAGACGAGCAAGAGAAGGGCGAAGAGCCGCAGGCTATTGAGCAGCCAGAGGCTGGTGCCCCTCCGCCAGAGACCAGCAAGCCTCCCTCGGCTGCAACGGAGAGCGCTGACAAGGGTATCGTCGGGATGGAGGGCATGAACGTAGAAGGGCTGATTTTGGAGAGGGGGCTGTATCGCGCCCAGTTGCAGCAGTGTGTGGAGCAGATACGGTCGCTGCAGGAGCAGTGCGCCGGATCTGAGAAGAAACTGCAGGCACAGCTGCTCACCTTTCGCGAGACGAGGCGGGCCTATTACAAGGACCTGCAGCAGCTGAAAGAGAGACTCGGATGGAGGTCCGCTGGAGGCATCGGGTTGTGGTTGCATCTGTTTGTGCATGATTTTTGGTCGTGGATTTGTGTGCAGGGCGGGGACGACTGCGGAAGGCGTGATGGAGGGTGAAGTGCAGTTTTTCGATCCCTCAATGCACATGGACCCTGAGGCAAAACGCATCATCAAAGAGAAGGTGCTCACGCAAGGGAGACACGAACCAAAGGATATGTCTCTCTCTTTGTATCCGTCTGCAGCTGGCAGAGATCAACGATACGTTTGAGGCCGAGAAGAACCGTCTTCTGCAGAAGATCCACAAGCTTCGCGAAAACCTGGAGAGCAAGACGGCCCTCTACCATGAGTCTGAAGACAAAGCCCACCGCTACCGCCTGCAGCTCAAGACCCTCACACACGCTATGCGCAAGAAGCTCGGGACCGCCCCACCCAGGATTGCCGGCGAGGAGGCGGGCGGTTCCGGTGACACACTCGACAGGGGCGACCTCGATGAGGCGCGAAGTGTGGACCATGACTCGGTGGATGACGCTGTCAAGCTGCAGAGGATGATGACGGCGACGTCGATTCCCGACGTGGATCATGTCTCGCAGGAAGCGGTCGCCGGCATCGACAGGCACAAAGCACTTGACGCCCTCACAAGGGTAGACATACAGACATGGATGTACACGCATGGACTCACCTGCATGGCCGTACGGCCGTTCAGATCTTTGAGTTCTTCCGGCGACAGGAGGAATACATATCCAAGATCCCCGACATCATGGACAAGGAGGCGGAGAGCCTCATACAGCAGCAGAAACAACAGGACGCTGAGGGCCAGGACAAACCCAAAAAGGAAAAGGGAAAGACAGGTATCAAGAGCGATGATTCATCCACATACCCAACAGCCGTTTATGCGCTTGTGCGCCCTCTGCTGTGTCTCTGTCTTGGTCCAGCTCATGCCGCTCTGTCAGCCAAGGTCAAGGAGCTTCGCCACAGCATGGCGCCGACCTTCGTGGCCGCCCGCCAATTCGTGACACGGGCCGCCAACGAGGTGCAGTCACTGGCAGGTCTGATGAAGCTGCAGCTGCCGACCGTCGAGGGACAGCAAGAGCAAGAGGGCGAAGCACCGGCACCAGCAGGTGACCCCGGGCTTGTGAGGATGCAACAAGCTGCCAAGCTAGCGGTTGATGAGGCCATGATCGGGGCACAAAGGTAGCTGGGTAGTGAGGCACGGAGACATGACGTCTGTGTGGGTCATTTTCTCCTGTTGCTGTGTGCTCCTCTGTCTGCCTGCAGGGAATTCGACATATTTCAGCTGCGTATCGTGGAAGAATCAAAAGAGACCAAGAGAAGCGAGGCGGAGTTGCGCAAGAACAAGGCCGAGATGGAACAGAAACTCACTACCATGCAACGCGAACTGGACAACGTGCGTACTACACACACACGCACACCACACAAAGCCGCTGGAACATACGCGCACCACCTATCTATCTCTCTCTCTCGCTCTCTCTCTGGTCCTTGTGTATGCAGGTGACGGGTCAGTTGTCTCAGGCCCAGGACGAGAATATCCGCCTGACAGCCGCCATGGACAACGAGCGAGAGGTGCTGGAGCAGCTCAGAGGACAGCTGGTCGTCCTCAAAGCACAAGCAGCAGCCAAAACTGCAACCAAGGTGCATTGGCCGACCAAGACGGGAAGACATTGCTTACGCACACATTCACCCTTGCTTGCTCCATGACGATTAGGGCCACCACATGGGCACGTCACCCGAGCCAATGAAGGCAGAAGGGGTGGGCGTGGGGATCGGTGACGACGAGCAACTGCCCATTGACACTGGTGAAGCCCTTCAGCCGCCTCCCACACCCGCTGCACAGCCTACTGGTCTCTCGTCTGAAACACGCCACTCATCCACCCATCTCAACGAGGTTGGTATGGTATGCACCCGTCTGTTTGTGTAGGTGAGAAGTCTGTGTGGGAGGACACCAAGGCTGTGCTGCAGCAGCGGATCAGTCAGGAGGCGGGCACGTCCATGGAGGACCAGCCGCCGCCCGAGCCGCCAGCACACGTCTCAGGGCACCCTGCCTTTCAGGGCGAGGGACCGGCGAATATCGGCCTACGCGCAGTACGCAAGAGTGACTGACACAAGCCACGCACCGGCTGTATGTATCATATTGGCTGCGTGTTTTGTTTGTGTGATGTGCAGCCTAATGTCACGCTGGATGAGTTCATCCCCGAGATAGCTCGGAAGCTGGCAAGAGCCAGCGGCATTGGAGTGAGAAGACGACAATGCGAGTAAATGCATACTCACCTCTTGCTTGTCTGCTTTGATGTCCAACCACAGGAGATCGCTACAGTGCTCAACATCGAGTCTCTGGGCCGCGATCTCAAGTACCTGGTGCGCCGGGAGGCCGAGAAGATGGCCGGGAGTCAGCTGGCTGCTTTAGAGGAGGAGCATCGCAAGCGGCTCGAGTTTGAGAGCAAACGATCGGAAGACCTCAGGCAACAACTGGTACACACACACATACAGTCCATTGACACAGGCAGACAAGCAGACACACGGGCGTGAAACGGTCGTGTGCTGTTAGGCTGAGGCGTTGACGAAGCGCAAGTCGGTAGCCAAGGCCAAGACGATGTCGGAGGAAGAAGAGGAACCAGAAGAGCCGGTGGGGTTAGAAGGCTCTGAGCTCCCCGTCGATGAAGAGGAGACGGATCAGCCGTCAGCTGAAGCAAAGGCGGAAGAGTCAGCCAAGGACGGCCAGGTGGTACTCATCCCTCCTGACAAGCCGACACAGCAGGCCATGCACTTGCGATTAGATAAGTCTGAGGTAAGCAAACACCGGCTCACCCACATCAAGCCGCTTTGAGTTTGGTTGCCTGCCCGTGCCGCAGCTGGAGTTGCAGGAGATGCGCGAGCACCTAAGATACTATGGCCGAATCGAGGCCGTTCTCAAGACGGCCTGGAACATATCGAGACAAGTGATCGCCAGGCTGGTTACCGCGCTCATCCAGGACTTCGGTGGCATCGACTCGAGCGCTGCCAAAGTGCCGCCGATCATGCTGCAAGTCGACCCACCCACCATCGATGTACGCACGCTACAAGCCAGCAAGCACAGACATCGCTTTGCTCTTGTCCTGTTCTGGTCTGTACTGCAGGAGCTGAGTGACGCGTGGGAGGGCTTGAAGCAGCACTTTGAGGGTACAGACTTCGAGCTGACGTGGTTTGCCAACGAAGCACGCAAGAAGCTGGCAGACATCCAGGAACGGGCCACGATAGGTGCGGTCCGGCTCTTCGGTGTCCGGAAGTACCTCCGCAGCTTCACCGAGCACCTGGCGGGGGCACAGGACGAGGAGGGTCTCGTCGGACTGGACGAGGACCAAGACACCAGCCCATCGGTCCACCCCGACAGGCAGAGGGCCGACACGGACAGCGCCACGGGAAGCATCCTGCTCTCAGATGAGGTAACAAACAAGACACGCAAGTGTGCAGATACGTGGGCGTCTTGTGTTCCATCCACATACACGCAGCTCCTGATGGATATCATAGAGGGCCGTCAGCGGCTGGATGGCGTTGATGCCAACACGCGGAAGGAGATTGCCCGTATCCTTCGCGCCCGGCAGCTCAAGGGCCAGGCGGAGGGCAACGAGCTACTCACCCTTGCGTCCAAGAGCGAGTCCCTCCTCATGACTGTCGATGCTGCTGCGGACAGATTCAGGGCATCACTGAGGAGGAGGAAGCAAAAGGTGATAAGGAGGAGTGTGTATGAGAACGCCAACACTAGACACATACAGAGTTATTTTTTTCCTCATCAGGGCCTGGTGCTGCCTGCTCCTGGCGCTAGTCAAGCGAGCATAGTGGATATCGAGGCGACGCCCACACTGCTTGGGAGGGAAGAGAGCCTTGAGGAAGAGGACAAGGAGGGGCCTACCGCACCATCGGCAGAGGTCTATGCCGAGACCAAACGCGCATATCATCAAGTAGGTGCCTCAACTACCTGAGCGGACTGGGTCATGAGACGCCATCGATCACTTGGGGTTGTGTCTCTCAGGCCTTCTTGATTCTGCCCGACGGTGCCGCCGAGGACTTCATGTCGTACCTGCCTATGCACACCATAGAGCCGACGGATGACAGCGATGAGGGCATTATGCCGCCGCACAGGGAGGCGGGGGGAGACGTCATGCCAGAAGAGGTATGGAGGCGATTGACTCGCCACTCCCATCTGTGTTGTGTGTGCTCTACTGCGAACCAATGAACAGCTGGGAGCCCCTCCGGTCCATCTGCTGACTCAGTGGCACAGTGAGACGGCCGCTCAGCACGTGGAGCTACCAGATGACGAGCCGACGGAGGTAAGTTTGCCGCCGCTGCAGAGCCCACAGCCTCCGTCCATGGACGCGAAAGCGCCTCGAGAAGACAGGCTTCTCGAACAAATGAGGATCCTGTCGGTAAGTGCACGGAGACATGTGACGTGCCGGCAGTCACTGCAAGTCGCTTCGGATGCTTTCTAAGGAGGAGAACCGTTTGCTGAAGGAGCAACGACTGGCAATGCTGCGACGATACAGCAGCAAGTAAGCAGAGGACACGTGCCGCATCACCCTTTCACCGACTACACATCCTTCCACTGTTGCGTCGTGTCGCGGCCAGGCAACCGACAGCTGAGGAGGCAGAAGCAATTCGCCGCCTTGTCGACGACCTGCAGGCAGCCCAACCCGGCGAATCCGTAGAGAGCCTCTCGGACGCTGTCAAGTCGCCGGAGCTAGCCGGCGCTGCCGCCAGGCCCCTCCGCGCCATGAGCTCTCTAAGCGACATATCAGATTTCTTCCAGCAGACACCTGCCGTCCAATTCATCATCGAGGGCAGCAAGAAGAAAACGAAAGACAAGAAGAAGAAAGAGGACAAGGACCGGGGGGAGAAAGAGGAGAAGACGCCTTCCTCCTCATCAATGGCATCTTCTCGGCGTGGGACGCCATCTCCCGCGCCGTCTCCCTCTGCGCCCAAAGGGAAGGACAGGGACAAAAGGCCGACGAAGCCCAAGGTCAGCCCGACTGCCAAGGAGAAAGAGGAGAGGCAGAAAGAACGGGCAAAGGAAAAGGAGAAGGAGCCGTCCGAGAAAGGCAAGGCGCGTCGCGAGAAGGACAAGGAACGGGGGAAGGACAAGAAGGAGAAACCGCGCCCGGACTGGAAGTATGGTGCACCACGTGATGGTAGGTCTGGATTAATTAACACACATGAACCGACCAAGCTCGACCTCGCTGCGTCTTCCTGCGTGTCCTGCAGGTGCTGATAGCACCACCCCCAAGCCCATATCGAAGAAGCCTGCTCGTGAGAAATTGGAGCGCAGCAACACGCAACACAGTCTTGCGGAAGCTGCCGGCACAGTCCCATCATCAGAACGCCGTGAGAGCATAGCACTACGACAGCAACTGACCGGCAAGATGGACAAGGCTGAAATCAAGGCCAAGCAGAAGAAGCTCCTCCACTCGCCAGGAAAGGCAAGGAAACCTGCACCAGCGAAACCGGCGGGTGAAGGTGAGGAGCCTCCAATCGGACTGCTGGATGAGGCGGACTTGATGGAGGAGGAGTCGAGGCCGCCGTCGAGGATGTGGTCGTTTCCAGAGGAGGCCGTCTTGAGGCCTGAAGAGGAGGAAGGCGAGGGCGAGGGGGAGGACATCGAAGTAGAGTCGCCGAGTGCCACACCGATGGAGAGGACGCCCATGTCTGCGTCATCTCAATCGCCCATCTTGACCCCTGCGTCGCCAGTGCCCGACCATGCCGATCAGGAGTGTCAGACGGATCTTCTCGGCTCCGACCTGCCCTTCGCCCCTCAAGCTGAGGCCCCCGCTGAGGTACCGTCTCCTCCATTGATGCCCACCCGGATGGACGGCCTGACCTTCGACATGATTGCGCGGCAAGTTGCTGGCTTCATCCAAGAGACAACGGCTGCCATTTCAAAGCAGGCGTCACGGGTGCTCAGCGACACGTCCCTTGCTAAGAGCCCCAAGCTGCCAAGGCCGGATCATCATCCGCCCTCACCCCTGCCGGAACAAGAGAGCCCCCCCGCTGTCTCGCCACGTGTATCGTCTGCACGCCACGACGTGGGAAGGCCTGACACTGTCAGCGAGGCGGGGGAGTCCGAATACGTGACGGGCGAGCCAGCGAGAGTAGCATTTATGGTTACACCACACAAGGAGGAGGAGCGAGAAGTACCTGAAGCGGCAGAGCTGGAGTCCATCGTTAAGGGCGCGCTGGCCCGGTATGTGATGGTCCCGATGGAGGTGAGCAGTATCGGCGTCAACACGGATGACAGCAGGGGGGCTGATTGGGAGAAGGCGACGCCCACCAAGTTGCTGTCGCCGGAAGAGCAGACACCGACAGGAAGAGAGAAGAAGAAAGTCAGCGTCCAGTTTGACACCACCAGCTTGAGCGGAGAGGACCTTGCACTCGGGGGCGCGCAGCTGAGTCTTCCGATGCCGAGCGAGGAGATAATTGCGAGATACAAGGAGGCGTGGCTGCTGCAAGAGAGGATGAACCGGCCCGCACTGCCGTCACGAGCCACCCAGACCGAGATTCTGTGGGGTGAGATGATCAATCGAGTTGTCGATAGTGTCACCAAGTACCTCACCAAGATGCAAGTTGAGGGCGTCCCCATCAAAGTAAGACAGTTGAACAAAAACCTGCAGTCAATGCACACTCCGTGTCAATGTCTCCTCTCTCTCAGCCGGGAGACACGATTGACGTCCTGGGCGTGAAGATCAACTCCAAAGCCCTCCGCGAGTCCGTCGACCAGGCCTTCCACCCACCTGCAGTGCCCGCCGGGGCCGGAGGCACGAAGGGGCGCACCATATCCCGCAAGCTCCCCGCCTCCCCACCCTCACTCGCCTTTGCGCATGAGCAGTGGGAGAAGGACCGCAAAAGAATGGAGAAACGGTTCCCGGTCCTCGGCTCGCCCCCCATGCCCACGCCCCGTGCTCCCTCCGAGGGGCCGCCTGAATACGCACTGGGCAGGTCAATTGGCAGCGGCGATAAGGCGGCCGCGAGGTCGTCCATTGTGCTGGACAGGAAGCAGAGCATGAGTGTAGTGGACTTGGAGATGGAAGATGTGGCGCCCGAGCCCGACGAAGGCGCCAAGCGGGATAGCATCGTGGTGAGCAGTGAAGCAGAGAAGAAAGATACGTATGCAAATCGACTTGCCCCACCTGCATGTGGTCATCAGGTGGATGCGCGACACGGCCTCGGTGGTCGCCGCGACCCCTACAAGATGCAGCGCCTTAGGGCCAAGGTGGGCGCCCTTCCCAGGAAGCGCAGACACGGCCGACGAGCCAGGCGCAGACGTCGCAAGAGGGGCATCTACGACGACATTGGCGAGAGCGACGAATCGGAGGAGAGTGTCTCGGAGACAGAGGAGGCCACAACCACCACCGAAGAGGAGGGACTCGGAGGCTGGGGGTCGCTCGCTCTTACGGGGCAACAGCCTAAAGGCAAGCCCAAGACCAACGCGGTAAAGTATTTCGGCCGCGAGAAGGTCAAAAAGGATGCTCTGCCGGACAAGTCGTACAAGCGGCGGCTTCAGGCCCTGAAGCGACTGAGGATATGGAACGACCTATGGGCGGCACATCTGTGGCGGCTCGGAAGCGTCGCAGACGACGCCACAACCAACGAACTTAGTTATGAGGACTTTAGCAGAGTGAGCCATACACAGAGCATCATAAGCATGCATGGGCGCGCCACTTTTCCCCTGACCTCTTTCTGTCTGTCTTTCAGTGGTTCTCTCGGGAGCTGCGAATCCCCGGCGTAGAGGGCGGCGGCCGTGCTCTCGCCGAGTACGAGGCGGAGCCGCCTACCCCTGTCACCCCCCTGTCCCTCGACCGCCTGCAGCAGTTGGCCCGCAAAGCCATGCTTCAACTGGCGTGGACGCGGTGGCAACGACCCACACCATCCACTCCCCCGCAGACACAGCGAGACATGGGGGGCACCGAGGTGCTGCTGGTGAATGCACTCCGCAAGGGGGCTGAGGGCAAGCGACAGCCGGCGGCAGCGGTCAAAAAAGAGGCGAGGCTGAAGGGCATGAGTGTGCCACCAAGGGAAACTGGCGTTAAAGAGGAGTCGCCGAAGACCAGGCTGACGGGTGAGGGAGGAGTGCTGTCGACGGCACCCGTGTGGACTGTGCCGCGTGCCAAGGTGCGAGAGAAGCCGCCACCGCCGATGACGGAAATCTCATCGGGCGAAAGGTGAGTCGTGCAGCCTGGGATGAGAAACTCGTACCATTACTCAACCAAGTCATATTATGTTGCTCCTTGCAGCTCGCGCGTCGCGCCTCCGCACGTGGGAGACACGTCAACGGATCACGAGTCCGTCCTCGAGTACACCGGCTCTATAGCCGGCCAGCCGGTCCCCCGCGCCACCCTGACCCGCCCTCCTCCGCTCCCTCAGTCCCCAGTCGAGCCCCCCCACGTGCCTATCCCATCGAGCACCCTTGGTGGCTCAACCAAGTGGATATCGCCTCCTATCACACACACCGGGTGGACACGCAAGAGCGACCTGAAAGCCTCGCCGCCCACACACACTCTCGGGCTGAAGGTCACGTCAGAGCCCAACAGGGAGGGGGGCGCCACCGACCAGATTCGTGACAGCAGAGACATGGCCATCACCGACATGCTGCCTCTGCTGTCTGAACGTGGAGGCATGCCTGCACGGATGCTGGGTGCGTCGGAACGGTTCAAAGCTCCGGCAGGCGAGTCATTCGCCGAGTGGATCAAGCGCAACAAGAAAAAACCTACCCAAGGGAAAGAGACAGAGGCGGGAGGGCGAGAGAGGAATGGCAATGGCAATGAAGACGCATCGCCGACCGACAGGCGACCGATGCGGCGAAGACCAGGGCGCAGACTGGTCATCAGCACCTCCAGAGACGAGGCGGATATGCAGGTGGACGGCCAGTCGGCTGCTGAGGCCGACGAGAGGTCTCCCGCGATGCAAATTGGCGCCGGAGCTATGCAGATTGGCGGCATGAGCTTACCGAGCCCCTTGTCGAAAGCAATGAAGGGCGGATTTAGACGGGTCAACTACCGTGCGCCCTTCAACAGCATGGTGCCGACACCAAGCGTGGCAGACCTGCACAGCCACGTGGGGGATAACGCATCGGAGACGACGGTAGACAATAAGGGCATGGTGGATATCATCGCTTCCACAATGGGGAAAGTCATCAAGGAGAGAGAGCAGACACTGGGGTGATCGATAGAGATTGAGGCTTGGGGTGATGCGGGCTGGGCGGCAGAGACACGGGTTTGTTTGATACTGGTCTGGGTTCGTGTGAGATGAATTGTCAGATGGATTTATCTGGACTGAGCAATGCTCTTCATGTCTGCAATACTTCAAGACCTGGCATTAACGAGTCTCTCAGCGCGACAAAGCGAAAGTGTGCATCTCACGGAATCCATACGGATAGAAACCGAGAAATTGACCGATGGAAGCAGCACACAGACTTGCATACAAATGCGAATGGCTGGCTGAATCGAAACAAATCATCACTCAACAAGACATCGCCCACATCAAATCAAGTCCCACATGACGAAGATGACAATGCATCGAACAAGAAGATATAGAATGTAGGTAGCGATGACCCTTTGGCAGATGAGCTTATCTGGAAGAGCCTCCCAGTCTCTCGATGGACCTCTGAAGCTTCGACCACAGCAACAGCATCAGTATGCTTTAAACCCAACACTGCCACGAGCTCCTCTCCAGGGACTGGCGGTCAATTTTGCATGTAAGCCTCCCCTTCGCCACTGCCTCGTCTCTGTGCTGCTGCTGTCGTTTCGAAAGGCAGGAGGCCACACGGGGCACTCTTGCAGCCTGCTTGGATGGCTTTGATGGGGGAGGGGGCGGGGAAAGGGGAGGCGTGGCCGGCACTGGTGGCATATGTTGAGGGCCGGGCGGAGGGGAGGGGGTGGGGGGCGGCCTGGCTGGGACAGGCTGCGCACGGGCGGCGCGGCGCGGGGGACTTCAGGGACATCCTCTGGGGTTCGTGGGGGCGGCAGCCTGATTGGCGGGATGTTCTCCAGCTCTGCCTCGAATCGTGCTGCCGCCTCTGCCACTGCGATGTCCTCCAGCTGCTGCGCGAGAGCGATGACCTCCTCTCTGTCGACGTCCTCGTCGGCTACTTCGCGCAGCTCGAGGTATCGCTGGATGAGCGCCGTCCTCCGCTCTGGTGTAGGTAGACGAGGCCGCATTGGCGTGGAGGGTGTTGACTCGGGGGACACGCATGCTGCACAATGGAGACACGCACGAGACAGGCAGAGGTGCCGCGTTTCCTGGAAGTATGCATGCACAGGGGCCTTCCTTTCTCTGTTCTCTTTGCTTCAAGGCTACGGTGTCCTTTCAAATCGTCCCCCAGCTCACCACGAATGAGGTAAGGCATTGCAAAAGCCACTCTTGCTCCTTGCTGTGCTGCGGTGTGGCTGTGCTGCGGGACACGCGGGCTCAGCTCGCAGTCGAAACTCCAATCAGGGACGCTCCGTTTGGTGACGTCAGCATCATGGAGTTGAATGACTTCGAGGCTGCTGGCGGCGGCGGCGGCAGGGGATAGGCCGCCAGCAGCCCCGCGAGGATGTGGTTGAGCTGCTGGTTGGTGAAGTCATAGTTGTTGGGCACCTGACCCCCGCTCGCTGAAAGCCCGAAGAGGGCACTCTGGAGACCGATGCAGCCACGAGGGTGGGTGTAGAGGTACCAGATGCGCTGCACGGCTTGCGTGAATTGGGCCCTGGCGCATCACACACACACACACACACACACACACACGGAGGGGAGGGATTCACAGTTCGCATTAGTGTGTCCGTCCGTCTTTTCTTCGCCCTTTTGTCGGCCTCACGGATGGCGGCAGGCGTTGATGATTGTGTGTATCAAGGCCTTGTAGGCGGCGGGCCAGGCGTCGCCGCTGCTGGACGGTCAGCCCGCGATCGTACAGGTGAAGGCCGCCGTCCGCGCGTTGTTCAGGAGGAACACGCTGCTGTGGACGACCGGTTGGGGATGAGGATGTCGGGACCATTCACCATGCGGATCCACAGGCTGCCGGCAGCCCGGCGGCGCATGAGCTCCCCGACTGCGTTGCGCATGGGTTGGCGGGGCTGCGCAGTCATGAGCAGGCGGGCCAGCGGGACCGCCACGCAGCAAAACCAGATATACAACCGCACCCGGACTGATGGACAAACAAACAAACAAACCAACCAACAAGCAGCAGCAGGAAGAATGACACGTTCATTTGTTTGTTTGTGGGTGAGTGACGAAGGTTTCCTCACTCTCTGGGCACGGCTGTGGTATCCAGACCTGCTCACATACAATTCACAACACGACACCCACACGCTGTGATGTGTTGGTGACATATTGGTTGAGCCAAAAGAATTACGTGGCATACTGAATTGACAAATACCCACTCGTAGCTGAGAAGAGAGAGAACACACCAATGCGCCGGTTGTCTTACTTCCAGTCTGCGGTTTCTCCTATCTGGTTGCCGTTCTGCTGGAGATACTGCACGACGAATGGCAGGTAGTGCCACAGATTTATCGTCACTTGCTGCGAACAAGCACAGACACATTCACACACGCGAATGTCAGTGCATCTTCATGCATGCAACGCATGATGAGTGCAGTGACATCTGCCTCTCACCGTATTCGTGCAGTACATGGGCGTATATCTCTCGGTGGTCGGGAAATACAATCCCCGCCACCGACCACACTCCCGCCACCAGAATCGGCAGCATGTGGGGGTGGCGGCCGTCGTGCACTGGATCTTCTCCATCAGGAAGACGAAGACGTATTGGGGTGGCCTCGGCTGCGGGCGGCCTCCTTCGTCCGGTGCTCTTTTGTGGGAATTCGTTTTTGCGAAGAACAGACTGTTCAGACGACACCTGAAGGGCCCTCGGCCAGGTAGCAACATTTGATTGGAAACTGCTGAATCCATCTCCTTCGTCTCGTCTCATCGAAACTCGCCGTTTTCAAACCCGCTCCTTTCCTTTCCTCCTACCCAAGGGAGGAGGAAGTTCAGAGAAGAGGCGACCCTCCTTTCCCCTTCTCAACCCTTGCCCTGAACGTGAAAGTGTGCGACAGAGGTGGTTGAGAAATCGAACGTAGAAGCAGCAGCAATGACGAGTTTTCGGACAGTTCTTCGTCCCCTGTGTGCCTGCCGAGGCCGGCAATGCGCCACTATGCTGAAACTGCGTACCTGCCTCAGCCATCGTCGGTGCGCCTCTTCCAGCGTCGGGGGGGAGATGTGTGATCAGGTGTTTGGAACGGAACGCCCTGGCTTCCTCGTGCACGACTTCTGCCTCTCATTCGCACCCGAACACAGGTGAGCGGCAGCAAGGCCCATTCGCTGTGTCAAACTCTGTGTTGTCGGTTGATCTCACTCACTACACCTCTGTCTGTCCGTCTGTCTGTCTGTCTGTCTGTGTTGTGTCTGTCAGGCAAGTTGGGTTTTATCAATGGCTGGACGAGGTGAATCGGCCGCCGGTCAAGAGCGCAGTGGGGTGCTGGGCGGTGCTCGTATGGCTGAGCAAGAAGTACGACAGCTGTGGCACCGTGGATAATCTCCACCACTGGCTCCGCTCCTTCGCCAAACTGGGCGCAAAGACGCTGTTGGTCGAGCCGTCGGACGCTGGTGAGAATGACTTTTGACAGGCCGAGCATCTGTAGGCGGAGAAAGTGTCCCATTCTTCCTCTCTCCTCCCTCTGTGTGTGTGCGCAGAGCAGCAGGAGGGTGTGGTTCCCGAGGGCATCTCCGAGAGCAACTTCCACTCCCTGCCGGTACTCGCGTGCACCGGCCATGCGCCGGAATCCCTGTCGCGCGTCATCCCGTTCGCCGTGTCGATCATATCGCCCGACTACGTGCTGCGATATCACGAGATCTGCGAAACACACCCCGACGCTAAGGCGGACGTGCTCAGCAAGAGGAAGGGCACCGAGCTGCTGCCCGAGGCACTCAAAGCGCTGCCAGAGCTGCAGGTAGGCGCGTGCATGGGATGCACGCCTGGTGTGCGCCTGTACCGATGCGTGTGTACGTGTGTTTGTGTGCAGGACCACTGGAAGTCAGGTCGATTTAAGTACCTTGAGGCGGCTGTGTGTCCCGTGTGCCACGGCGTAGGCTGCCACCGTCATGTGGGGGAGATCTTCAAGCGGTTCAGAAAGACGATGCGCGCCAGTGATGATGACTTCCTCCACGCTTGATCGGCAGACAGACAGACAGACGGACAGACGGACAGGCACAGAGGGAGCTAGAAGAGAGAGAGAGGGTATTTGTCGTCGATGCCGGCACGTTTGCTGCCAGTGGCTGGCTGGCCTTGTTTTTGTGTATAGATATTGCAGCAAAAGCATCAGCAGCAGCAGCAGCACTGGAGTGTGTATCTCTGTGAGAACTCGCATCTCTTGTATGTCTGTCTGGTCGAGAGGCAGGTGTGATACCCGTTTGTTGATGCGATGTTCCTGTGAGGTGGTTGCTGGTGTGTGCCTGGATGGGCGGCTCGGGGGGGCCTGTTGGTTGCCTCGATAGGAGGGCTACATGCATGTGTGGCGGGCAGGATACTATGGCCACATGTGTGAGACTGTCTGAGGCGAGTCGACCTCCCGTGCCTGTACATCTTGATGGTGCTTGGATCATGCTAATGCTCCTGTGCTGTCCAAACTACGCGAGATTTACACTACGCGAGAGACCCTAGCAGGAGAGAGAGCCGCCTTGCTCCATAGCGCCTGGCTGCTTGACCAGTCAACCTTTCTGTCGGCATTCCCCTGGTCTGGTTCCTTTGAAAGACAGAAAGATGGGTAACAATCACAGTGCGAACCGCCATGGTGCCGTTATCGACGACCACACACTTGACTTCCTCCACAAAGCCGACAGAGATGCCCTCCACACGTATGCAAACCACACACGAATCAATGAGGGAGGGGGAGCGGCAGTTGACAGCTCTGTGTGTGTGTTTGGGTGTGTTGTGCCATCTGTGTATGTGTGAGCCGGTCGGAGGTCGGCAGCCTCAGAGTCACGGCCCATTTCCTCTATGAAGTCGACTTCTCGGCTGCCGTCCTGCGCAATCGCCTGGGCCGCTGCCTGGCGGCCAAGGGACTTCAGACCATCATCGCCTTCGACGCTCAGCTGGACCGGCCTCTGCTGCTGAAGGCCATCTGGCTGGTGGACACGCAGCAGTGGACTGAGGTGGCCAATGCGCTGAAGTTGGCGAGGCAGAGGGGGTTCTGTCAGCTGCCGATAACACTGGCTGTGGCCGACATGCAGCGTCACGATAGCAAACAGGTGGGCAGATGAGCGTGGGGCGGGGCGGGGGGCACTCATCGGTTTGTCTGTCTGTCTGTCTGTGGTGTCTGTGTAGGCGTATTTGGCCGATGCGCGTGTGATCGCATTGTGGAAGATGGTCGGCAGACACGTCAACTTCGGCGGCCAGTTGG